GAGAATCATTACAAAGATTGCCTAAACAAAGGCCTCTTTTCAAAATACTTTCAAAACCACACAAAGCACCATTTCAAACAATTGAAAAGCAAAAGCAAGTGATCTAAAACAAGTAACTAAGAGCCCATGGAAAACCATGGATGAAAAGGGTGCTAGAACCTTCCCTTTTCATAATCTACCCCCCGAACCCAAAAAAACAATCTCAAAGGTCTTTCTTGTGCTTTTTTACCTTTCCTTTTGGATAAAATAAAAGTCGGTGGCGACTTTTGCTAAACCGAAACATTTGCAAACACAAACGCAAAACCTTAAGTCAGTTCTCCCACCGCATCACACGGGCCATGAGGCTCGTCATCGTCACTATCGACAGGAGATGGAGAAGGAGAGTGATAGTTTCTCCCCCGTCGGTCGTCATGGTCCCTTCGTGTAGAGGGGCTCCTTCGTTTCTACTTTGGCTCGGGAGAAGGCAATCGAGCTCGATCGATTTTCCTGTTGTCCTTCCTCTTCTTGAACAAAGGGGAGTCTTGATCTCTGGGAGGAGGAGTGTGATTGCGTTTATTGAAGAAAGAAACGTTGCATCTCTCCTTTCTGGGCGGTGGGCCACGCCTGGGTGGCGATGCACTGGGGGAGTTTCACCATCGGGTTCTCCGAGGAGGAGATCTTGATCGCCTGTTCTCCCAGGCCCCTATCCTTTGATTTTGTTGTAGGATGAGGGCGTTGGTTTGATTGATAGCAGCGAGCAGTGCTGCCATGGTTGGGTCGGTGTTGAGAGGGACATGAACTGGTTGCATGACTTCTGGAAGTTCCTCAGCAAGATTCTTGGAGTGTCCCTTGTCCAAGAATTGGTCGTCACTGTGCCTAGCATCAGTGGAATCTAGAGACGCGGTCTGTCTGTATCGGAAGCCCGAGTTGTCCTCGAGGTAAGGGTGTTCCTGACTTCCGTCAGTTTTGCGAGCAGGGGAAAGAATGGTATTTCCTGACATGTGAAAATCATCATGGTTGGCCACTATTAGAGAGATAAATCTTGAAAAAGTTGCTTTGATCTTAAGTTCCAAGGGAAGAAAGATGGGGATAGCAGTTTCCCACAGATGGCACCACTGATCTTGCCAGTTGATTAGAACCTGAAGAGAGGCTGGAGGATGATCTGCAGTCGAGCTGTAAACTGAGGACAAAAGGGGGTTGTATCTGCAAGGCACTCCGAAGATCAAGTAAGAGTGGGAATAGGGAGGTACAAGCAAAAATATCAGGTAGTGAGTAGTGAATATTAGATACTTGTCCCTCACAAGTGTGAGGGTTTATAATGCCCCTGGCACGTGGCCATTGGTTTCTGGTTTCCCACCTAGATACACGGGTCCGTGAAATCAGGTAACTTCCAGGACTTGGTCAAACTGGGCATATGTGTTTGTAACTAGCCATTGGTCTCGAGGAGGGGGTTAGTTACGGGCATCCCTCTAGTCAATTCCTAGTGGCCTGCACGATGTTGATATCGGGCAGGCTGAGAGGATGCTCGTCGATCATCTTGGGCCAGTGGTGGTTCGGAAGGACAAACAGCTGACGTTACCCGACAAGTAGCGGGCAATTCAGGTCAAGGTTGTGTGGGCCGTACCAAAGGAAATGTCTTAGACTAAACCCATTCTAGTTGTCGGGGCAGTCCAGAACAGAACTCAAATTACACTCAATAACTAGGCAGGCCCCAACAACGGTGCCAAAAACTTAATGGGAAAAATAGCAAGTGTACTATTTTTGCCCTTTGTAATAATAGGGAAATTCCCTGAATGTCGATCTCAAGGACCGCGTATCAGTATTGAGTTTAATTTGTGGTTCAATTAAACAAAAACTTAATTGGGGTTTTGGTTTAGGAATTGTCGCTTAACAGAAATTAAAAATACGCAGAATGTAAATTATGGCTTTTCACATATATGATGAACATGTAAGGGTGTGGTGTGTATTTTTCCCTATGACAACCTAGAATCCTGATTTCTTTAACAAGTTCATAATCTTCAACTACCAGACCTTTATATTATTTTCTCCTAAGTCCTTAGTGAGAAAACCTTTAACCATCCATCCTAAATCCTAAGTCCTTAGAGATATCTGATGGAGTCAAACCTTTATTTTATCAAGAGTGATTTGGTAACTATAGGGTATCCCTAATCCTAGGTGATATCTACTATAGCCTAATTGTACAAAAACCTTAACAACTGCGGTCGAGCTGGTTGTTAACCGTGAGTCAATCCTAATTGGTCAGATCAGAAAAGCATAAAAACATTGCACGATTAAATTAAATAAGAAAACAACTTTATTAAATAACTCAGGAATTCATAATCATTACAAATTCAAATGAGAGACACCCCCTAGCATTGGGGGGTTTAGTCGTTCACATTATTTAAAATAATCACAAGATAAAGATTAGACATTACAAGTAATTGGATAGCTTCGAATCTTCAATTGCTTCCGCTTATGAGAATCTTCCACTCACCAAGAACCTTGATCTCCCCAATCTTCAATCGTGTAAACTATTCTTCGCTGCCCAAAAATTTCCCTTCTTCTTATCACAAACGGGTTTTAATAGTATTAGGTCATCCCTCAACAATGCAAAATGTCCAAAATACCCTTAATGATCCAAGACACTTAAGACCCCAAAAGTCAAAATTCCTAGCGCTTTGGCCGACACGGGTCATGTCATGCGACATGGGAACCCGTGTCAGTCTCTATTTCTTGCTTCTAATCACGCTACCATGCAGGTGTTTTGATAAGGGTCGTGTCGTGCGACACGGTCACCTGTGTTAGTGTCTGTGACATTGCTTTCTTACGCTCTAGTGCAGTTGGTTTGATACGGGCTGTGTCAGGCGACACGGTCGCCTGTGTCAGCCCATGGTTTCCATGCTTCACAAGTCTTCCCCCTAACACGGCCCGTGTCAGGTGACATGACCACCCGTGTTAGGGCTCATGTAGTACTTCCTTCGAGACTCTGAATTCTGCACTTTCCTGCCTCGATTTGTCCTGTTTTATTCTTTTGAACCTGAAAATACTAAAACACAAAAACAAAGCATAAAATGCAGTCAAATGAAATAAAACACTCATCAATTAAAAGAAATGATAACTAAAATAATTGCTAAATACTTGTGTAAAAACCACTGATCAACCAACTACTTTGATGGTTAACCTCATAGTCTCACCCTTTGTTATTTCCTATGTATACATGATGAACCCACCTCATCCATATGTTCTCTTTATTAGTAGAAATAGCCCACACGTGCCTTCCAAATTCAGCTTCATTCCAGATTTGGCTATTTTTGAAGCCCAAACCTCCTTTGCTCTTGGGTTAACAAAGGCTATTCCAAGCAATGTTCCCATGACTGTTGCTCGTGGCTTTACCTGTCCAAAGATATGCTTTGCTGACAAAAGTGATCTCTGAGATGACTTTCTTGGGTAGGATGAAGAGTTGGCACCAATAGGTGTAAACTGTAAGCAGAATTGAATTCATAAGAGTAGTTCTTCCTGTAAATGATAGGTTCATTGAGCTCCAAGTTCTAATTCTGGCAGTCATTTTATCCATAATAATTTGACAGTCTCCTGCAGATATTTTCTTTGAGGTGATAGGAAAACCTAAGTACTTAAAGGGCATCCTACTTCTCTTAAAGCCTGAAGCTTCAGAAATTCTTTGAACATCCTGCTCATTCATTTTTCTGCAGTAAATATCAGTTTTATCTTTATTTGGCCACAATATTGAGGTATTAGAAAAAATCATGAGCCCCTACAGCATAATATGAATAGATTTGTAGTCACCATTGCAAAATAGCAAGACATCATCAGCAAACCTGAGATGGTTCAGCTTGATGCCATCACATTTGTCATGGTATTTGAAAGACTGCAGACTTCCTATCTTCTTCATGATTCTTGATAGGTATTCCATACCAATAACAAATAGGAGATGGGACATTAGATCCCCTTGCCTCAATCCTCTATTGGAGCTGAAAAAATCACGCATAGAACCATTAATTTGCAGGGAAAAATTTGGAGTCCTCACACATTGCATAACCAACTATGTGAAGCTTTTTGGGAAGTTAAGATTCTCTAACATTTCTTCAATAAAGTCCCAGTTTATTGTATCATAAGCTTTTTTTAAATCTAGCTTGATCATGCTACTAGGTTTCCCATTCTTCGTACCATAATGCCTTACCAGATCTTGGAAAATCATAATGTTGTGAGCTATGAGTCTCCCCTCAACAATTGATTGACTTTGTAGGTTGAATGTCTCTGCTCCATAGAGAGAATGTGGTTTCTCGATAGCGGGTGCTCAAGGCATATGACGGGTGACATTTCCATATTCATTGACTTTACACCAAAGATAAAGGGTATGTGACCTACTGAGACAAAAATAAGGGTATGTGACCTACTAGTGGTGACTCAAACGTCTCTATTCTTCACTACGTCACCATTTTGATTGGAGGCCTTACTTGAATTCATGTCTAAAGGAACCAAGGCTTGATGAGAATGTGGAAAAGCTGTCAACCGAGAATTTAAAGAGAAATCCATGTATACTTCACTAGATTGTTACCCATGTGTTGCGTCTGAGGAAAGAAGGTCACTGGTCAGGGTGAAGTAGCTTTAATGTACATTCTTTCAAAATAGGCTTCTGATTGGTTGGCCATATTATTTTGTATCTAGAATGTTTGATGTTCGAGAGTGTAACCAAGGATCATCCTTATGTCACCCTTCGATGATTAGTAAGATTCTCAAGCACTTTCATATTAGTGTTCCAAATCTTCTATACATTTCACCAGGTCAAACTCAGGAGTTCAACAAAACTACAATGTAAAACATGGGGTATAAGTGGGATAAGGAAAAAAATGCTTACTACTTCTCTATGGAGGGGTCCCAAAGACGCATGTATAAATTTTATGATCCAATTGAATTTGATCTAGTACATGTTGAAGAGCAACAAGTGGAAGACAATGATTAGCATGATGATGCAATAATTCCAAATTCTCACTATGGTGAAGATGAGGCTTGGCTCCAAAATTCGCCAGTTCAACAATAACAAGAATACCAACAAGGTTGGGGACAATGGTAGCAGAACTCTTGGACTCAACATGGCACACCATACAAAAATGGTTCTAGTATTAGCTCAAGTGGTTCTTAATCTACCAATATCAACATGCTTAAAAACATGTGTGTTCAGCAGCAAGAGTACCAACAAGAAAAGTCTCGTAGGCGTGATATGCCTTTGAAGCAGCTCATAAGGCTCATTTTCATTTGGTACAATAACATCTGAATGACCAACACAACAGATTCAATGACCTTGACTCATATGTCAAAGGAAAATTTACTCAGATCTGTAAAAACATGGCATTCAACCATGGTTCCACTCAATTCAAAATCAATATCATAATTAGTTTCAAGAGGAAATCACACTCAATACAACCAGTTCTACAGGGAAATGTGTGATTTTTTGGATACTGAATATGGAAACCATAAAGGAGCTTGGTACAGGGGTAGGAGACCAAAACCTATGGGTCGTTGAGGTCATGCCCACTAGTTTTGTTTCACTATGGACTCTGTCGCTTTTGCATGCATTTTCATCTTCTTTTTTTCATGCTTGTTATATCCTTGTTGTGATTGTTTTATTTCAATTTTTGTTTAACAATCTTGCAGTATGTTTGTTATGAACTAATTTTGTTTTTGAATGCATTGTTGTTTATTTATGTTTAAGCATTTTCACTTTAACTTCATTCTATGCGAGTGTTGTTATTGTTGGTCAATTTATCTTTGCAACACCTATGAATGGTATACATATGATTGTGTATTTTACATGATGTTTCTTACTTTTTGTGGATTTTTCTAATTTTAATGTTTCCAAAGGGAGAGAAACTATGCAACAACAAAGAACGTAGTATGTTTTCAAATTAAAGGGGAGATGCATGTATTCAGGGGGAGATATGATAAAAGACTACAAATACGTCATACGTTTTGCCATCATAAAAAAAGGGGGAGTATGTTAGTGCACTATCCTCTTAGATATTTTGAATGATGTCAAAATTAGATACTATTTAGTATTTGTACATTATACCTTGTATCTCTATGTCTATGGTTGCATTTCCATCTTAAGACACTTATAGAACAAGTCAAAAGCATCTGGATAAGTCAAAAATCTAATTTTTCATGAAAAACTATGTTTGGAGTCGACCATACAAGTTAGGAGTCGACTCCCTCTGAAGAAAAATGAAAACAAAATTTTCTACTGCTTTGGAGTCGATACAGAGGCATTTGGAGCCGACTCACATAATGAATGTGTCAACTCACTTGAGTTGTTGGTCGACTCCTACTGAAATATTTTTTCGTCTAAAATTCCTTGTCCTCTTGGAGTGAAATCCCTTTCAGCATGGATCGACTCCCTATGCGAATGAGTCAATACATTCTGACTTAAAATTGTCCAAATTTGTAATTTTGCAAACCTGGTTTTATGTTATTTCTTTCACACACACACAAACACACACACACACACACGCATATATATATATATATATATATATATATATATATATATATATATATATATATATATATATATATATATATATATATATATATATATATATATATATATATATATATATATATATATATATATATAAGCAATCATGCATCATTTCAAACTGATTGAAATCAAAAATATACGCAAAATTTTTCATCATCTTCATCCTCTCTCATTGCATACATACAACAACTAAACATAATCATTTTTGTTGTGTGATCTCGATATAGTTTGATAAGGTCCAATAAGGTTGGTTGTAATCAATTGGGTTGGAAATTCTTTGGGGGTTACAAGATAATTTCATTTGGGGTTTTCTTCCAAGATCAAGATTGATTTAGGAGTTTTTCACAAGATTTTGCAAATTTAATTCAGCCGAGTGAAATCTTTGAAGAAAGAAGTTTTTGTCCTTGGAGTAACGGTAACCAGATGATCATTTTGGTAATCTAGAGCCACAATAGTTCACAGTTTGGATTCAGCTGGTGAAAGCTTCAAAGAACGGAATTTCTATCACAGAAGTAACGGTAACCGAAGGATCAAACTCGAAGTATTGGGTTACTTGATCGACCTCAAGATCAATGGAAGAGAATAAGATGGGATCAGCATAAAACATAGTGTTTGGGGGGTTAAATTACTAATTTTTCTCTTGTAAACAAAATTTGCAAAGGTTAATTTTCATTATCTCAATTTCATTGGAATTGTGGGCAGACATACTCGTAGTAAGGCCATTTGAGGAACTACCTAAACAATTCTCTCTCTCTCTCTCTCTCTCTCTCTCTCTCTCTCTCTCTCTCTCTCTCTCTCACACACACACACACACATACACATTGTAAATCTTGAATCCATTGAATATGCAATCAATACATTGAGATAATTTCTTTGTTAATAATTTTTCAAAATTTTTTTGTTGAGTTGATTGCAATCTATAAGAATGAAATTGGAATGTCATATCAACAAAATCAAAGAAAAAATGATTACAATTTATTGCACACTAAATGTTTGAAAAATTGCTTAAGTCAAGTTTTAGTTTAATATTTCATTGGAAATCGATTATCATTGTGTGATTTTGTTCAAACTGTTATACCTGAAAATATATTAAACTATTTTCTCATCAATCATGTACGTTTGTTATGGTTTATACACATATCCGATCTTTTCAATAATGGTTTGAGATAGACGGTTGTCGATCCATAATTTATTTCCGCTTGCCATAGTTAAACAATTTTTAAACAAGAAAATTTCATTAGCGATCTATTCACCCCTCTGGATCGTAGCCTATCGTCTTACAAAGTTTTGGATTACGAAAATATATAAAAGATGAGCGGAAAATGTATTTATAAAATTTATTTAATGAAGGATATGATATCTCACCGGACTCTAAAAAGCTCAACATTAAAGAATAAGATCGAAATATAATTACTATTTTTGGATTTTTAAGTAAGAGGTAAAATAAGTGTAGAAAACGATGAGTAACAGTAAGGCTTTTGGATCAGACAACAAACCTATTAACATGTAAAAAATTACTGGAGATAGAGGCATTTAGTGTCTCACTGAACTCTTTAATAAAATTACGAGGTCAAACAATTATCGGATGAATGGAGAAGAAGTGATTTTGTGTAATCTATAAGAACAACGAGGATAACAAAATAGGGAAAATTATATATGGATTAAACTTATGAGTCAAACCATTAAGTTATGAGAAAGAGTGATTGAAGAAAGACTAAGAAAATAGACTCAAGTAACTGATAATCAATGTTTTTTATATTTGGGAGGTCGACCATGGAATCATGGAAGCAATCTATCTACTACGACATGAGATAGAGTAGTATCGAATGGATTAACAAGACTTGGAGAAACGTATGATATAGTGCCTAGAGAGATTTTGTGGAAGCCATAGAGAAGAAAGAGGTTAGGATTATATATATTAAAATATCCAAGATATGTTTGAAGGGGTATCCACCAATGTGTAAACACGGGTTAGAGAGATAGATGGTTTCCTCATTACAATCAGTTTGCATCAAGGTTCAACCCTAAGTTTTTACTCTTTTATATTAATGGATGTACTCACGAAACTCATCCAAGAGTTAGAACGAAGATGCATGAATTTTGCAGATGATGTAATTGTACTTGGAGAGTTGAAAGAATATTTAAATGAGAGGTTAGAGACTTGGAGACAAATCTTAGAAACACATGACACTCACCTAAGCAGAAGTAAGATGGAGTATATGGAGTGTATGTTTAGCAAAATGAGAAGTGTTTTCAACCTAAAGGTGAAAGTTGAAAATCATATCATCCCACAAGTCATATGATTCAAATCTCTTAGGATTGTAATACAAAACAATAAAAAATTGAAGGGGATGTAAACCATCAAATTCAAGTTGGATGGCTGAAATAGAGGATGACTTCAAGAATTTTATGTGACACAAAGGTACCACTCAAGTTGAAGAGAATATTTTATTGGATTACGGTAAGACCCACGATGTTGGATGATTAAGAATTAAAATGAGAATAAAGTGAGTAGCAGAGATAGGGATGTTGCGTTGGATGTATGGTAAGTCTAGACATGATAAGGTTAGAAATGATAATATTAGAGAGCGTTTTGAGGTAGCACCTATAATAAAAAAGATGATGAAAAATAGATTTCGGTGGTTTAGATATGTTGAGAGAAGACTTATAATTTCTATGGTAAAAAATAATAAATCAAATGGAGATGAATCAAATAGTTAGACATTGCAAAAGATTTAGAAAATTATAGAAAAAGTTATTAAGTCTCGATATTAACAATTTGGATAAAAATATAGTCCAGAATAAAATATTATGATAGAAGTTGATTCGACTTAGTGGAAGCTTCACATTTATTGTATTTTTTAATAAAGATCACTCAGTTTATAAGAAATGAAGTGGAGTTTTAAAAAACGGTCCGCGACTACGAAAATGACTGCGATAAAACGGTTTTAAAAGATGTCGATACTAATACCGTTATCACCGTTTTCTATATTGAAAAACAAATTATAGTTAATAAAATATTAAGATGGAAGTGGATTCCACTTAGTGGAAGCTTAACATTTGTTGTATTTTTAAATAAAAATCACTCAATTGAAAAACAAATTATAGTTAATAAAATATTAAGATGGAAGTGGATTCCACTTAGTGGAAGCTTAACATTTGTTGTATTTTTAAATAAAGATCACTCAATTTAGGAGAAATGAAGCAGGGTTTTAAAAAATGGTCTGCGACCGTGAAAATGGTCACGACAAAACGGTTTTGGAAGATATCGATATTGATACTGTCATTACCGTTTTCTATATTAAACAATAAATTGTAGTTAATTCACACCACAACGATTGCAATACATCTGTACAAACCGAAATCACGAAAACTTTTATGCGACCGTTTATTAAAACCTTGGAATGAAGTAATAAAAATTGCATTGAAACTGGAAAATAGTAAATAAATATAAATTAATATTAGTAAGAACATAAAGAATAATTTAAAATGTGGACATTTTGATTTCCAACAAGGGATGGGAAGATTCAACAAGAATGAGAAAGCTGGTAAAAACAATCTAAGCACATTAAAATGAGCACTATAACAAGAGGTGATAATTTAATTTGGTTTTGCAGTAGATCCCGAAGACAAAGGTGTGAGACCATGTTTGAGTGCTGCTTTCCAAACAACATCGATCCTATCAACATCAATGGCTCCAACTTCATGATGAGTCCAACCCTCAAGACTATGCACAACTCCTCCTGCATGACATGCGTGAATAACTCCTCTATCCATTGTGTACTCACAACACCCAAGACCTTGCACATCCTCCGGCAATCTCATTGCTGCTAGATCACCATAAGTGCAATCTTTTCTAAATGCACATATTGGTGGCACAACAAATTGGTGGAAATGTGTTCCGCTTGGCGCCAATTTTTGCTCTCTTGCAGTGATCCACTTGCCAACAATCCACGTCTTGCAGTGCTGTGCTGCTTGGTATTTTGTGACTTGAACTAGGTAACTTTGGTATTCTTGTGGTGCTTCCTTTTGAATCTTCTGAAATCTTTCCGTTGATAGTGTTAACATCTGCCAAGAGGATATTTATGATTAAATTATTTTCCCACTTACTCACACTTAGTATATTATTCTAAGCACTTAAAACAGAAGAAAATAATGGTGAAGTGGAGTTGTTATTATACCAGCACTTTGACTTTGTTTCTGCAGAGGTAGAGAGCAATTGCTCTTCCAAGCTTGGAAGTTGCACCAGTAAGGAAAACCTCTTTAACATCTTTGGGGATTTCATCTAAGATCACAGCCGCTGTTAAAGTGTTGCCATGAACAACTCGAACTCCAAGATTTGGGTTCTTGTCCACATACAGTTTTCCTCCACCATTTAGAGATTCATTCTGCATCTCCCACGTATCAACAAATTCGATATTTTATTTTTCATTTCACCAAAAATGACGAGGACGTGGAGAACCAAAACTTAAATGAAGTAATCCAAAGCTTGAGAGATACTAATTTCGAAGAGAAAATTGTCGTACCTTATTCAAAGCAGCCAAGCTTATGACTTTAACACCAATTTTATCTGCCGTGAGGATAGCATTCTCAATATGCTTGTTGATACCCTCGGTAGCAAATGGTAAGAAATACTGTTAAAGCAATCAATCAATTTGTTTCATTAAAATAGACTCCGCAAATCTTAACTCAAGAATAAATACGAGTCAAAATTATTAGATCAAAGTAGTAACAGTTGTGTGTGAGTTACCTGAAAGCCACACCTAGGGACAACCCATGTTTGATGCAGTCTCCCCTTAAGGTAGTAGAAAGAAACAAGAAAAGTCTTGGACCAAAGCCACATCAGTATCAAAACTATCACAGCGATTGGAAAAAACGGAATCAAGAAGAACCTTGTTGTGAAGGGTAAAGAAGCAAATGATCTCAGACCGAATTGAACATGCATAGAGGATGTGATATCCACTATATGGACTAGAAATACAAAATCTGGTACCCTACTACAATTTCCTTTGCTCAATGATTCATGTAATTCCCATGATTTTGTGTTAACGGTAGTTCCTAGTGCGTCAAAGAGAGGCATGAAGAGGCAGAAATTCGAGTCTTTTTCAGTATGGTGTAGATTGTGATATCTACATATAAATTAGTAACAAATTAGTTCAAATAGAAACACAACCTGACCTTGATGTAAATCAATTAATGAACTTACGTTGGGGTGTATATGAGATATCTGATAAATGGGAAAGTTTTAAAGATACGATGTGGAACAATTTCAACGTTGCAATGGCCCAAACATCTGAGAAAATCAAATATCAAAATGTAACCAAATATCAAACTTATGGATCCATATCCCATGAATGAAGCTCCCATGATCGGAATTCCAATTACTAAACTGAGAAAGAGATGCTCCAAAAGTGTTCCGTTACCAGCTGTCAATGACTGTGGTACTGGTGATGAATGATGAAGTGAATGGTAATTGGTGAAAAGATAGTTTCCATGAAACTTTCTATGCACCCAGTAATAAAGTGGTTCTGATATTCCCACATGAAATATCAAAGCTGCTATAACACCTTTTATGTTCCATGAAGGGAGATTTTGTAGGAACGGAAACATATAATAGGCCACACAACATAACATTGCTTCAAGTATTAAAAAGTTATCCCTGTTAATTAACAATATATTAGAGAGAATATATATATATATATATATATATATAGCAAGAGAACTAGTAAATAATATAATTACCAGTCCCATTCTTTGTCAAGCTGTTTGAAATCAATCCCTTGTTTAAGAATCTGACGGTTTCGAGTTAGAAAAAGCATGCTGCTGTAAGAGTTCCATAGCAAATAAACAAAACCTCTGAGAGCAGACAAGATGAGCAAACAAAGGCACCAGCTGAATTTCAACTCTTTCTCATAAAACATCTCGTACAATACTCTGCCTACAAATGGCCCATATAGCACGTACTATGCACAAAAATGGATACTCAATTAACTCGAGTAACACTAAAATTCAAAAATGCATGAATCGTAAATAAACTATACCTTGAATATTCCAAAGTTCTCCCAAGGCCAGGTTGATAAAGGACCTCCCATTATTTTCTTTATATCAATACTCTTGCTTATAATATTGCTATGTGAACAAGATTCCAAACACAATTTTAGGTATGTGATGCCATCAACTTCTTCCCCCACCAGCTATTTATATATTGAAACAGATTTGCTATTTTGACACCACAATGCTTACACCCTATCACCTACACGTACGGTAGCTTTTAAATTTCCTCGCAAGCTTGACACAAATCCCAATACACATAAATATAATTAAAAAAAAAAAAGAAAAAGTAGATGGTATAGTATAAACATACAGTGTATATGTAAAATCTGGTGTAACTATATCATTTCTCATATTGAAATTCATCCTAGTGTTGGTTGAGACATTTGCAGTTAGTTTTCTCTCTCACTCACTTTCGCTCCCTGTCACTTTTAATTATTACAATTATTCATTTATATTCTCAATTTTTTTATCAAATATAAATAATATTACTCCTTCTGTTTCATAATAATTGTTTTTTTATTTTTTTTATTTTTTAAAATAAATAATTTTTTAAAAATATTAATACAATGTTTATTATTTTTTTATTAATATATTTCTATTTATTAAATTTTATATTTTTCAACCACTCTATTAAATATATTAAATAAGGGTATTTTAATAAATGATATTAATTTTATCATTAAAATTAATATTTTTTTTTTTAAAATCACACAAAATTTAAATAAAACACTTATTATAAAATAAACAGGTAAAAAAGCAATCATCTTTAGACCTAGTGACGAGATAGGCATAAAATTTTGTCTCCTCACCTAAGAAAATAAGGTCAAGTGGACGGATTTAAAGAAATTGCACTTTTTATATTTAAATTATAAAAATTTATATTAATATTTTCACAAAGATCCGTAGACACCAAGTGAAATAGGATGGACATGTTAGAAGTGACAAATTTTAGAATTGGGTTCTACACAATAAAAAAATCAAACAAAATAAATATGTCCAACAAATTAGAGTCGTTTTATCACCGTTTTTATTTTATAGGTTAAAAATTCCCTACTTTCACCTAAATATCCTTTTAATAAGAAGGTTAATCTCGTTAGTCTCTAATAAATCTAAATTAATTATGTTTTATGTTACACTAAAATAATTCTACAGATTAAAATCGAAATTAAGAATAATTTCTTTGAATTATATAAATATTTTTAAAATGAAGATATATGAGTATCAAGTACACACCTATATTAATTACATGTAACGAATTTGTAATATTTATTTTTTTCTTCTTCATTATTTTGTTCCGTGTAAAACTTACGAGATTTTCTCATATATTAATTGATAACCTAACATTTTTTAATTATTTAAATTATTATTGTGATATTTTGTTGTAAATTGAACAATTTAGTTATTTATTAATATATTTTATTAAAAAAAAATTATTGACGCATCCGTATTTTAATTTTATTAAAATGGTGTATTTTATACTAATATCCATAGTTTATACATAAAACTCACATTCTTTAATTCAACGATTCTTTTCGAAAAGACAAATTTATAATAGATTTTCACATCAATATATTTTGTAGTTGTAGAGATGCGGGCTTACAGGCGATTGAAATACTGTTAGTAGTATCAGACCAATATACTCACACCTGCCCTTTAACCTCCATTAGGAGGCAAATATATGGTCGACGCAATAAAATTTATATTGCTTGATAATTGAATATAAAAATAAATTATATGCAATGTTGAATTAAATCAAGGAGCATCTAGAAGTATTGAGAAAATAGAAATTAATATAAATATTAATTATAGAATAATGTAGAAGCTAGAGTGTCTAAAGTAAAATTAAATTTATCAGTTAGGATGTGTTTGTTTCATAGTTGAAAATTTTATTCTTTGAAATGATATTTTTAGAATTATTATTTTTGGGAATATTATTTCAATCTATGTGTTTAGTAAGAATTTAGGTTCTTAAGAATAATTATAAAATTTGTTTAATTTTAAATTAAAAAAAATAGTAAATAGGAGTGATAGTGAAAAATTAAAATTAGTTGAATTTATTTCCATGAGAATATTTTACTCCTACTCTTTATACTTTGGAATAAGAATAGAAAATTCATAAGTAAATAATATTTCTTAGAATAAAAAAAAATTTAAAATGATTTTTTAAAACTTGAATCAAATATAAAAATATTGCATTCCTATTATCATATTCTCAAGAATAATTTTTATAACCTTAAAACAAAAACATCCTTAAAAAAAGAAAAACGTATGCTTCTTAATTACGTTTCTTAGCCTAAGAATATGTACTTCAAGGCCTATATAAAGACATGAATGCAATACTACTAAATAATCAGTTTTGAGAAATAAATATAGTGTGGAGATTTATTAATTCCTCTTGTAGTGTGTGAGCGTTTGCGTTTTATATTATAGTGTTATTTGATATCAAATTGATATTAGAGCATATTATGTCTTGTTATTACAAGTGTCAAAAATGTTTTTGAGGATTTGAGAAACAAAAGAGTTTTCATTGTGTTAAAAAAGTTATTGTAAATATTTTTAAAGAGAGATATAGTAAAAAATTACAATTTTGTTTGGTCTGATCCAAAATTAATGCATAATTAAATTTTAGTTATTGAAAAATTTTGATGACATCACATTTAAAAGTTCATAATGTTTGGAGCTTTGTGGATTCTGATTTATAATAAAGAATTGATGAATTCGCTCGTAGAAAGGACTAGTTGACACTTTCACAAATTCATCAAGAAATTAATTATTCAATATTTGAAAAAAATTGCAAATGTCAAAACTGCTAAAGAAGTTTGAGACATATTGAAGTTATCACATAAAAGAGTGGAGATGACTCAAAAGTCAAAACTACAATCGATGCATAGAGAATATGAAAGATACAAAATATCTAATTCAAAAATAATAGAATAATATTTTTCGCGTGTTATAAATCTCGTCAATAAGATGAGAGTATATAGAGAAGATATTCCAGATAATAAAGTGGTAGAAAAGATTCTACGTACGATGCCGATGAAGTTTGCCCATGTGGTGACTACAATAATTGAGTCACACAATACAGACACTTTATCTGTAGCAGAATAACAGGGAAGCATTGAAAGTCTTGTAAATAAAATATTAGAAAAGACTGAGAAAGTGGTAAAAGAAGAAGCTCTCAAGAGTCAGGTAAATTTCAACAACACTTTAGAGTCAATCCATATTGTAGAAGAAAAAGGTCAAAATAATTACAATAATAGAGGAAGAGGAAATTATAGAGGCAGAGGCCGAGGAAATTATGGAGGAAGAGGACGTATGAAGAGACAACAACTTCAAAAGTTTCAATTCCGCACATCAAGAAAAAGGTGGTCATAATTTTGGATCTACATATCATGGTAGAGGAAGAGGTAACTACAATCAAGAAAGGATGAATTATTGTTATTATCATTATGGAAATTTTGGACACAAGGCAGCTGATTGCAGATATTAACATCAGGAAAATGTGGCGGAAAGTTCGTATCAAAATACTGGTGAGTACTATGAAAATCCACAAGTTTTATTTTTGGCAAGTAATATATTTTCAGAAGAAAAAAATATGTGGTATATGGATACTGGGTGTAGTAATCATATGTGTGGAAAAAATGAATTATTTCTTCTCTAAACGAAACGGTAAAATCTACCGTGAAGTTTGGAAACAATTCAAATATTCCAATCTTAGGGAAAGGCCAAATTTCTATCAGGTTAAAAGATGGATCACAAAATTTTATTGGTGATGTTTTCTATGCTCCTGGCCTTCATCACAATCTATTGAGTACGGGACAACTGTCAGAGAAAGGTTACAGCATGCAGATTCACAATGGTTTATGCACGTTGGTCGACAAAAATGGAAGATTTATCACAAAGGTAAGAATGAAATAGAACAATCTATTTCCTTTGAAAATCCAATATGAAATTTTTTCTTGTTTGAGTTCTATCATTCCAAATGATGATTGGTTTTAGAACATGACATTTCATCACTTTCATTTTTCTGGCTTGAATTACTTGTAGAGAAAAAATATGTTTCTGGATTGCCTAATATTCCAAATGGAGTATGTGAGACTTTTCAAATTGGAAAGAAGCATAGAGATTCATTTCCAACTGGAATGTCTTGGCGAGCGAATAACTACTACAGATAATTCATTGAGACTTGTGTTCAATGAAATACCAACATCAAATGGATGTAAGTACTTTATTACTTTTATTGATGATTTCAGTAGAAAGACTTGGGTGTATTTATTGAAACAAAAATTAGAAGCTTGTGATGCCTTCAAGATATTCAAAGCATTTGTAGAAAAATAAAGTGGTTGTAGAATCAAAGCATTGAGAACAGATAGTGGCCAAGAATACCTCTTTGGTACAAGTTTCTTTGAGCAATATGGGGTTGAGCATCAATTAGCAACAAGATACACACCTCAGCAGAATGGATTTGCTGAAAGAAATAATAGAACAATTATGGATATGGTGAGATGCATGTTGAAGGCCAAACAGATGCCTAAGGAATTTTGGGCAGAAGTCGTTGCTACTGCAGTTTATATTTTAAACAAGTTTCCAACAAAAAGTGTTCAAAAAAAGACTCCTGAAGGAGCTTGGAGTGGAAGAAGACTTTCAATCCGACACCTTAGAGTTTTTGGATGTATTGCATAAGCTCATGTACCAAATAAATTGAGAAAGAAGTTAGATGATAAATGAGGAAGATGTATTTTTATTGGTTACAATTCAAACTCAAAGGCCAATAAGCTTTATAATCCAGAGACAAAGAAGATGATTATCAGTTGAGATGTGACTTTCGATGAAGGAGGAATATAAGATTGGTCCTCAAAGTCAAAAAAGGATGCATTAGTAACTTTAAATGATTACGAAGAGGAGAATGAATATAATCCAACACCTAATGAGTCAGAAACATCCAGCAGACAACAAACAACACTTGATGAGACAGAAACATCCAACAGATAACAAAGGTCGCGTAGATTACCAGCTAGACTTCAAGATTGTGTTTTTG